CTTGGTGTTTTTTTACTCTACTATATTTCCTCCATGTCTCCTTCACCGTTATTCCTTTTTCTGTCCTCTTCTGCTGAAATCCTTTCTTCTTCTGAAACTCCATTAGGTAATGAGGCAGCAGTAAATCACAGCTTCTGTCCGTATGACTGACAGACTTGGCTAACTCAAGCCGTTTTTACAAAACAGTGCTATTAATTTGCCACAACTTCGTGGCGGCCTCAGGGAGCCTTAGGCCATTTATAAATGGTCAGACCGTGGCGGTAACGTGGCGCAATCATGTCCTTTTTATAAAAACTGAGGCACTGGCGGCACAAAGGGTTTATAGAGGCGGCCGTCTCAGCTGATCTTGATCAAAAAGCTAATTTTACAGCACATATTTACTTTTGTTTGTAATGAAGTTGCCGTCCAAAGCTCGGCAGTAACTCCCTCTGTTGTGCCAAGACGTAATCGTCATTTATAAGACAGACAATTACCGCAATATCACTACCAAGCGAGGTGGAATGAATGCCGCAAAATTCGCGCAATGCTACGCCGGCATGGCGTGTCTATAAGACATACCCTTACGGTAATATTACGCCGATTTCCCGGCATGGTGTGTCTTGTAAAGAGTGCTTCAACTTCATCCACGTCTACACAGCATGACACAAGTCTTACGTAAGGACCATGCTGCCCGTCGCTACAGGTGTGACCGAGTCACTGCTTTGCAAGTAAGTCACAAGTCTTTCCAGTCATGTCTCAAGTCAAGTCCAAGTCAAAGACAACCAAGACCAAGTCGAGTTCAAAGTCTTAATGCAGATGTCCAAGTCTTTAACTTTGAATTTTCAAGTCATAATCAAGTCATCTGTCCAACTTCAATTTAATGACAAAAATAAATAAATGGCGGAATTAAAGCTTCTTAAAGCTTCATTTATTTGCTCAAACAAGCAGGAAGTGCAACTGAAAGTGATTATAAACAAAGTGCGGCTGCATTTAGCAGAACACCATCTAACCAGAACGAAGAATGATTCATGATTTCTGTTCATGTCATGCCTTTTTTGTGCTAAAATATCAAATATGCTCAAGTCATCATCAAGTCAACAGATGCAAGTCGATTCAAGTCGCAATTCATTGGCGTTCAAGTCCGAGTCAAGTCGTAAGTCTTTATAGATTTTATCAAGTCAAGTCAGAAGTCATTAAAATAATGACTCGAGTCTGACTCGAGTCCAAATCATGTGACTCAAGTCCACACTTCTGCTTCTTAGTGGTTTAAATGTCTCTACAGCATGGAGAGATGATTACGGCTGGGTCAATATCAGGAATGACTGCTTGTATTGATGTCCGACAGCTTCTGGGAAGACTTTTCCCCCGTCTCGTTGTCACATCCAAGAATAGATGAAACAAACGAGACACCGATCACAAAGAATCTGGGATAAACTGGCCGTTTCAGTCCCACTTGCCATAAGACATTGTCTTCTCAACGTGAGGAGCAGCTGCATGCATTCCTAGGAGCTCAACTATCAGACCCCGTCTTTAGAAGTGTGTTGGAACAAAGAACAGGCTGCAGGTATAACTTTTCTTATTCAAACAAGGCTGAGAAAATATTAACCAGCTGTTATAGTCCAATCCTCTTTGGAATGCGTGTCTTGAGCGCAACTGCTCTGTAGGGGACTACTAGTACTCACAAAGTATGCTGGTCATTTTAGCGCTCCTCAACCAGTCTTCCTTTGGAAAAACACAACAAGTTAGACGTTCGCTGATGTGAACAGTTGTGCTATCGACTCGGCGGTTTACGTTTTCCAGCCCCAGCAATTACACTTTTAGTATCATTTATCTTTATAGGTTTAGATGTTGATTGCAGTTTAGTGATGGCTAACATATACCTGAGCAGTAAATAGCTTAACAGGGTGTACCTCACTCTGTAATAACCCAAACAGACTCAGAAGGGATTACGTGTCTAGGAATGATTGGTATGTCGGTCAGTCGTAGACGGCTTATGCTGCTTAGAGGTCGCATCCAGTTGATACAAAAATTAAAACCATCATTAGAAACATGTGCAAGATGGCAACAATACGGGTCTAACTGGGGCAGGAAATGAAGTCTGTGGAACAAAAACCTAAAGAAAGCCGATTGTTCCTCCAGCTATCATGTTTGGTGTGATTTGGTCGTATTAGCATGCTCATTATCAGCCCGATGGAATAATTTACTAACCTATAATAGATGGCAATAATTTCCCATGTGTGCAGATGCAAAATTGTCTCCTTTCTAATTTTCTACCTAATCTGCAGTTAATTGGCTCAGAGCTTCACACCATTTGCCTTATTTTTACAATTATCAGGCCATCATCTGCATCTCTTCTAAGTAATTTCACAATAAACTTCCAAATGACAACTCTGATGTGACATGAGTGCATCGTTTTGGAATTTTTCCCTCCTGAAGCACTTTTGGGGTCATATCAAAGTGTTCTTTCTTGATAAATTGTATAAGGTTAGCTTAGCTTATCTCGACTCATCCCTTTAGTTATGCTGGAGTTCTAACTGACCACATCTCCTCACTCTGGTTTTACCATCCTCACTCACCATGCATTTTTATGGTTATTGCTGCTATCCTGTTTTACTTCCATGGTTATCTTCTGTAGAAATCCTGCCAGACCCGAACCTTTAGAGACCATGTGCCTTTAGACCCCTCCGGATCCTCTTTCTGCCTGTTTAAGGGGAGTTTTCCTTTCCACTGTTGACCTTTGTACCACGCTTGTTCAATGAGGAGGAATTTGATTTTTTTAAGAGGTAAAATGATCTGTAGATTTTCTTAGAGTCAAATTTGACAACTGTGTTGTTATACTCAAATGAATCTGAACTAGACTGAACTGACTTTATACGGTTTGCTTGAATTTGGACTTTATATGAATTGTTCCTTGCTCTTTATACACTAACTCCAATTTAAACTTGCCATGCAGTAGCCTACTCTCAAAAACATTATTCTTGGCTCTAGCAAACACTAAATTAAAACATAAACTACATTTTTTATGTAGAATTTAACTAAAATCTATGAAATAACAAATGTTATTTACTAAAGTAGATAAACACAAATCAATTAAAAGTGGATATTCATTAACTAAAAAGAATCACATGAAAAACGTACATATAATCAAATTTAAGCCTCCTTTTTTGTCCCACCCTTATCAGTGTAAGTACTTTTTATTTACATAGCACACATCACAGAAAGACAATCACAAAGTGCTTCATGAGATAGAAAAAAACAAGTTAAAATAAGAAAAACAAAGTCGTGAAATTCTAAAACAATCATAATTATCATAAAACAAATGAAAGATTAGTATAAATTTGACTTAAAAAGTAAAAAGGAAACTTGTATCTTCTGGGTAACCTTCAAAGCCTCCCACAAACATCACTTGTTTCTATAATCTTCTGTATCAAAAAGCTTCATATAAGTTCATGAGTACTTCCATGTATGTACTGAGTACACATCTCTGTAAATATTTGTTCATTTTCTATATAAACAAATTAGGAATACAACAATACCACTTTTTTCCAAACCGATACGATACCGATACTTGGATCTGAGTACTCGCCGAAACCGATTACCAATACTGATACTTCTACCGCACAAAAAAAAGGCAATGATTTGGAATACAGATTTTATTTTCTTCTCTGCTTTCAACAGGAAAGGACTGAGGTAGTTAAAAAGTAAAATATATGAATGGAAATCATCACAAAACTAAAATATTAGGTGAACAGAAATGACAAGTTACAGTGAAGCCATTTTCAAGCAACTGCATCGGAATCGGTTCCTGGAATTGGTTAACTTTTACCGATACCGATACTGGTACTGGTATCGCATTGGTGCCGATACCGATACCGGTATCGGTGCATCCCTAAAACAAATGTAGTTAGTTCGATTTCTATGTAACATTTTAATTAGTCATTTATGAGATAACAAATGTTTACTCTATTCTATAATACTGCCACTTCCATGCTTTATTGTCAAGGCTTTAAACCTGCTCCATGTTCCCTACAAACACGCTAGACCACTGAGCTGAACAGGTGACTTTGGTGTCACATGTCTGAAAGCTGCAGCCACCAGTGATCGTTCTTCTTTAGATCATCACTGAAGCCAAACAAAAACCAAGCTTCTAATTTTGTGAACATTGTTAAAATTGATCCACTTGATGTCATCTTCCACTGTTTGAGCTGCGGCAGAAACTCAAATATTTATCACGCACCTTCACCCAGGATGTGACCATCGATGGGATTAGCACACAGTGAGAGAATGGCTCCTCTGTGATTAGTTCATGAGCTCACGTTGCCCTATACTGCTGAAGTGGTGTGTTAATGATTTGGTCACTGGTGCTTTTATTTATTCATTAAACACTGTTTTTGTTTACCTTGTTGAAGTCTCAAAATCAGACTTGTGTGTTCCTCAGAGAAAATCCTTCCAGCATGTTGGAGAGAGGAACAGCTCATTAGATCAGAAAGTTCTGGTGTTCATGGATTATTTTTAAAGATCTTTGCGTAATTAGATTATTTAAAAAAAATCCCACCAGCCTTCAGCTTTGATTCGCAGACTTGGTTATTACAGATTTCTCCTTCTGCTGAAAGGAGTTTCTTCTCACAGGTCCATTTGTTGCTTGCACAAAGAGTCTAATTTACTTGTCAGATTAAAAATAAAGCTTCTGTACACAGAATACCCTTATTTTATCTAGATCTTCTGTAGAGGACTTGATTATATGTTTTTTTCGGGGTGAATTTTGCTGTGAGTGAGAGAGCCTCATGATAAAATCACTTTTAACTTTTAAAGAAATCCCGCAGGCCCCAGGAGATCCTGGGCGATTAGTCAAGCACGTCTTTTGACTGGAAGGGGGGGGGGGGGGGGGGGGGGGGGGGGGGGGGGAGAGAGAGAGAGAGAGAGAGAGAGAGAGAGGGTCACCTTTTGTGCAAATATATCAACCAAGTAGACTGCCGCCAGCATCAGATTTCTGAGTGTGCGGGGTGTGTGTGTGTGTGAGAGAGAGAGAGAAAGAGAGAGCGAGCGAGCGAGAGAGAGAGAGAGCGTCGTTTTTGCACAGAGAGGGAGAGAGGTCTAGAAACGTTGGAGCACCAAAAGAAGAGAAAGACTCGCTGTTGCGCCTGATTTCAACACTTTGCGACCCAAAACAAAGCGAAAAGCTACTTTTTCATTGGAAAAAGTTGCAGAAGCGGCCATGGACGGACTAGGAACTGGACGCGCGGCGCTCCTGTGCACCTTGCTCCTCTGGGCATTCCAAAGTAAGCCTCTTTAAAGACTTTTCAGCGTATTTTCGGTCCAACGAAACACATTCTTTACGTTTTGTTGTGATTGATGTGGTACAGGTAGGATTTTCCTGCCTGCAGGCTGCGAGTTTCCTCTTTGGCGCACTCTCGACTTTCATTTACCGCAGACACCAAACCCGTCTGAACACGCCGCACGTCGCGCTTTATTGAGTTCTGACGCAAACACACAATATCAGCGTTTCCTCATCGGCGTTAAACAACCTGTTTGAGTTTTGAACAGAAAAAGAAAAAAAAAGAGATTGATTTTTCTCTATAAACAAATCCCGCAGGAAGAGGTTGCGCACTTTAACCAGACTGGACGCGTAAATTTGCGGTTCTTTTCCAGGCTGCAGCCACCAGAATCGAACTTCCAAACAAAGCTTTCATTACTATTAAAATAATTTTACATAAAAAAAATCTGCAGGGATGATAAAAGGCAGCTCAAACCCAGAAGAAAATCTCCTTAAATCCTGAAATCGCTCCAGTAAATCTCCCTGCCTTTGGAGCGAGAAGTGTCAGACTTCAGGCTTTTATTGTGAAGTCCAGAGCTGCGGTTCTGTTTGCAGCGCTTTGATGTTTGATCTGCGGGATTTATGTCCCCTGCTGGCTCACCTCCAGCACTCCTGAGTGCTGCTGGATGAAGAGAACCTGAAATGCAACTTGTCTTTAACTTTTTATGATCTTTAAGACATATTTTGCCATGATGCGTCAAACGTTTCGTGTTTCTTTCCATTTGGACTTAATTCAATCACCAAACTCAGATCAAAGTTATTCTAGACTATATTTTAATTTCATTTGCCACATAATTTCATTTTCATCATTAAGAATTAATTTTGATGTATTGTGTGTTTTTAATCTGCGTGATGCAGACGGGCTATGTTAAAGCCACGCCCCTTTCCATATCCCTCCAACTAGGTAAGGGTGGGGCCTGGATGCTGGCGACTCCCATCTTTCCTCTGCCTCAGCCTGTCCAATGACTGATTTGTTCTGGATCCTTCTGCTGTATGGATTTCCCTCCTCAGCCCACCTCTCCTTTCATTTGCTGGATGTTCTTCCTCTCAAACGCAGCAGTGGACCTTTTGCGGTCTGTTTCCTAAAACGAGTCCTGTAATTGATAGAATCGAGTGTAGTGTACTGCACCTTGCACAGCTGCAGTGCGATGATTAAAAGGCTCTGTTCCAGGTGCAGCGCTCACCCTCCCAACTCCATACCAACCTCCACCGCTCCACGTCCTGGACGTGTTACTCTGAAAGAAAAAAGACTCCTGGAGCTTTTGCTTTATTATTATTACTTTTCCTGAAACGTCGTTATTTTTGGCCTCCCTTGAGGATAGTTTCATCCAACAGGAACTAAGTCTCGCAGTCTCGCAGCTGAGCTGTACAGCTGTGAAGTTGCTGGAGCCACCGATCACATAGATGTGTGCCGGTTAGTGCTTCTGGGTTCAGAGGAAGGGGCAAACTCCCCCTGTGAAGCCAACGCAGAAGGGACAAAAACTGCAGTTCTCCCCTCATCCTGTAGGGGCTGGCTCCAGAAAGGAGCAGGTTCCCATTGACTCCCATGTTAATAACAGCCTGGTTCCAAAATACATTTTAGGTGTAATAGCTCAAGTTTACCATCATGACAACTCCGAGGCAGGTCATTTTTTTGTACCTCATCTGTTTGGATGTAATTAATGCTTGAAATGTTGATTTATTAGGGGTGTGTCCCGTGATTAACTGGTAGCAGATGAGCCAATGGCGCTAGGGGCTTGTCCCCCGCTTGCTTCAGGGAAGGCCTCGGCTTCACGTTAATAGTGGTACAGCACAGAAGGCAGAGGGTAGAGTTCCTCGATGGTTTTCTGGCTAAAAGCGCCCACCAACCTCCGTTAGCGCTTGGTTAGCTCAGTTAGCTCGTAACTGCATTGGCTCGGAGATTGATGAGTGTCAATTATCAACAGGTAGGCTAGAAAAGTCGATCGTAATCCCACTTGATCTGTTTTCAACAGTGCGATGGTTGTTGCAACGCATAGGCTGCACAAAAAATGGGCACAGTTGCTCACCCTGCGTTGACTCAAGTTGGGTTTGGAGAGTGAGGAGCCCAGCCAAAATGGCGGAGACACTGTTGCGCTCTCCAGCACCCAATGGCATGTCTACGTATTCGTGTCTACGGCTTTGACTGCGTCAGCAGTGTGGAGCTGATTCCTAATGATAACTTCTGGTTGGTGAAAGAAATCATTTGGAAACTGATCATTTTTATTTAAAATCTGCTTTTATTTCAGATTCAGGGTTCATGTTATTTATATTCACACATTTAAAAGTTCAGAAACAGATATGAGGATTTATTTTACGCCGCAGTGACAGGCAGATCACCATTTTCAACTGTTTGTGCGTGGAAATACAATTTCTACCGGAATCAACGTACATTTCAGCCGCGTCATTCAGGAGTTAATTTGAGCTAAAAAAAGACAAACGCTGACTCAGATCTTAAGACGATCTGGAGCTAAACTGTAGAGACTTGAGAGAGAAGTGTAAAGAATCGTTCTGACAAGCGTCCGCTCAGATCAAGGTGTTGGCCTCTAACGCGGCAAGTCTGCCTTTTTGTCAGACGCTGCCTTAATTCTCACACTCATTTCCTCACTTTTAATTTCTGTGCCCCCCTCCTGCCAGCGTGGAATCAGAAGTTCGCCCCCCTGCAGACATTTGCAATTATTATGGTATTAGGCCACAAAAATAGCCATTTAACCACAAGGAGGTCAAGTCTGGAGGCCCTCCATTGGCTGTCCTGGAGCACTGTGAGGTTACACGCTTCCTTCCATGTCCATCTGGAGAGCATGTGCAGGTATCATTTAGAGCTGATACGACCCAGAAAACCTGTAAAGTGACATGCTGTCTCGGGAGCGGAAGCACGTTTTCTCTCTCCTCTGGAGAAGTGGGCTTTAAGCTGAAGGGCTCCTAATCAATGTGTTTGACTCTCAGATAACAAATCACTGAGTCGGAATAAGCTGCATTCCTCTGGACACGTCGCTGCTCGCCTCATAATCTGTGCTTTTTGTTAGTCATCACCTCAAACTCCGTAGATAATGGCTTCCTTTCCCACTTTAAAACTCCTCCTGACCACAATGCAAAAGCAGTAATCCATGTACAAACATGCAACCACAAAGTGCTTTTTATCTCTGGAGGCAGAATTACACGTAAAAAAAAAAAGCCTGTTTTTAGCAAAGGTGGCATTCTGTGAATTGACTAAGTTCGGTTCACCTGAACGGCTACAGGGAAACAATTAAACGTTACTCCGTGCTAAACGTGTGCATGATTGACCCCGGATGATTACATCAGTTAAAATAGTAGTTTATAGTGCCGACCAAAGTTTACCCCCTCATTTTTTCATCATATTAGACCCACAACAGCTTCAAAAGAGCAAAAACGGTGATTAAACGTGCACAGGTACAAACTAAAGCTCACGCGGATCCAGGTTCTTCCTGTTGAAGGGGAGTTTTCCTCTCTACTGTTACTACATCCTTGCTGAGTGTGGGGATTGTTGTGAATTGCTCAACTTGGTGCCAGAGGAATAAAAACAAAGACTCAGGTTAGAAATCTTGGTGTCGTAATTGATTCAGACCAGACCAGAGCTTGGTTTATGCTTGACGCATTCACTTTCCGCTTGGTGATGCGGCTCGCGGATGGAACGCGCTTCACAACTTGGGAGCGTTTATGGTTCATGCGGCTTGTCTCTGCGGTGAGCCAATATTCTCCCAAACTGTAGGGGGCAGCATGGAGCTCTACGGCATGCATCCAACACTACACCGTAGTAGAAATTAAAATTACTGTTTACAACACGGCATTCCAGCATTTTTAACAGCGTCCTCGTCTTTTGCGACAGTGCGAGCTATTTCTCTCCAAGAATTATTAACAACATGTTGATCACGGTGATCTCTGAGAGCTGAATCATACAGATGTCTGTATTTACGAACCTCTGCCATACTAGTTCTTGCCGGTCCGCCATGTTTTTCCACGTCCAACCGTCCACCTGGTTAGAAAATTTCCTTGGTGCGCGGTGCGGAAAGTTTGGGCCGTGCGGAGGCGCGGTGGAGGAGCGTGGTTGTTAAAATGACGCAATTTTGCCGCACGGACCTCGCGGACGCGTCAAGCATAAACCAAGCTTAAGGCTATAACTAGATCCAACACATTCTCACACCTGAAGCGTCGAAAAATGGCGATGGGTGACCACGTTTTTTTTCCTGATGTGTTGGGAGTCCCAACTTGTCGGGAGGCGATGGGCGGTGCCAGAGCGTCAGTTTCCGACACCTGTGGTAAAATTCACATTTAACCAACCTTTAACCTCTAACCTCTTACTATTTAACCTTCCCCTTCCCCACATCCTAACCTTAACCTAGTTTCTCATTCTTAACTTCCTGTTAACCGTGTTGAAGAGGGACCTTACCGCTAGCAACAAAGTTTGGCATGAGCAAAAGGGCTAAGGTTAGGATGGAGGTGAGGGGAGGGTAGCAATTTGGTGAAGAGGTGAGGGGAGGGTAGCAATTTGGTGAAATCTTCCTTTCAGACAACAACGCTCTGGCACAGCACGACCCCTCCCGATCACGTCGGAAACAAACGCTTGGTCACCCATCGTCATTTTTCGACGTTTCGGGTGTGAGCAGGTGTTGCTAGATCGGCGTTTTATCATCTTCACCAAAACGCACGACTCAGAGGTGTCCAGCCAAGATCTAGAGAAACTCATTCATGCGTTCATCTCTAGCAGGCAGTGGTCTTTTGTCCGGTCTTCCCAAAAAAGCTGTGAAGCAGCTGCAGCTCACGCTGCTAGGGTCTTAACAAGAACCAAGAGAACCGAGCACATCACTCCTGTTCTTAAATCTCTACACTGGTTACCAGTAAACTACAGAAGCAATTTCAAAGTGCTTCTACTAGTGTATAAATCACTCAGTGGCATGGGGTTAGAATACGTGTCGGATCTCCGTCCTGTATATAAACCCAGCAGGGCTC